CACTTATTAATTATTATAAATCTTTTGATTTATTTTATTCTTTTCTTTATATTTTTACCTTTTTTTCAAATTATTTTTGTAATTTAGATCTTTAAACACACAATATCTATAGATATTGGTATAGAACTTAGAAATCTTTGCTAATATTTATAATGCATTCTCTTTACTTAAGTTTAATCATCTCTTTCCCAATATCATATACTTATAGTGATTCTCAGTGAAATCTACTATTCAGAATCACTATAATAATATATCAATATTAAATTAATTAATTTTTAAAATATTAATTCACACAAAATTATTAATATAAAATTTATAACTTTTCTTTTTTTAGCATTTTTTTTAATATAAAACTAAAAATTTTATATTATATAATATTAAAAATTTAATTTATAATATTAGTAAAAATTAAATTATTTATTGATTATTAATATATTAATTCTAAAATCAAATTTAAAGTATTATCTAATTACTAATACAAATTTTATAAACTCTTGTCTAAGAATTTTTTAAATTAATAAAAAAATAAAAAATTATAATAAATATGAACTTATCCAAAATATTACTATTATTCATTTGTTAATTTGAAAGTTCTGAACTTCTATCTGAAAATTTTCAAGTTAATAAAAAAAATAATTAAAATAAAATTAAAATTAGATAAAAAAAGAAATCAAATGAATATAAATTTATTCAAAGTGTTATTATTACTTATTTGTTAATTTAAAGATTCTGAGCTTCTATTTGAAAATTTTCAAGCTATTAATTAAAAAATTCTGTAAATTCTTAAAAAAAAATAAAAACATAAATTATAAAAGATATAAATTTAATCTTCTATATTATTATCTAAATTTATAATAATATCATTTTGAATTTTAATAATATTTGAAATTTCTTCTTTATTACAAATATTTCTTTTGAATAAATTATTAATTAATATATAATTATCACAGAATTTATTATTATAGACAAGTTTGTAAGATATTTTTTATATAACTGGTATCATGAGCTATTTATAGCTATAATAACAAATCTTAAATTAATATTTTTTTACTTTTTTAATTTTTATTTCAATATTCTATTTGTATATTCTACAAGTTTTTGGAATTGAGAATATTTAGATTGTTTATTTATAATGATCATAATTTGACTAGCTTTCTAATAATATCTGCACAAAGCTTTTTTCCATTATCTGATTATAGTATTATAAAATAATTTTATCAAATAAAAAAATTAAAAAATAAGCTGCAACTTCAATTATTTTTTTAGAAGTGAGTGTTTTTGTTTATAAAAATTGTATAAAATAATTATGCACATGATATATATATTTGAATTTTTTATCTGAATTGAAAATTATAATTTTTATTTAAAAAAATAAATAAAAAATCAATAAATAAATTATCAAAATTATTTGAATATAAGATAAAAAATTTCTTGTAATTATTAAGTTTGGTAACTAGAGGATGAAATAATAACTTCCTAATAGCACATATTGTGCAATTATTTATGAATTGTTCAATAATATTTGTTTTATCCAGTTTTACTTTTCTCATACTGCTTTTCATGTTAATTTTTGATCATTATATTGTGTAATTTGACTGTGAACTTGACAAATTATTTGATATATATTTTTGATAATTAGTACTGGATTATTATTAGTTTTTATAATTACTAACTCTATAATTATTAGAAATTATTTCTTCAAGTTAGAATTGTTTTTAGTCCAAATTTGAATATTTTTATCATAAAAATATTTGGAGATTCAATAGAATATGTTTTATTTTATTTAATAATTCATGATTTATTATTAAAGCCTTTTCACACTTTGTAACTGAAAGACTAATTATATAATTATTAAGAATTTGATTAAAGATACTTTTATTAATAAAATTATATTCCATATTAAGATAAATATGTTGAAATAAAAGTCAAAGGCCTAAAAAGCCTTTGACCTTTTCTTTAATACATTAATAATTGCCTCGGGTAACAACTGAGATGTCTCAGATAATCAATCAACAGGTTACGCACCTCACCTGATGATTGATATCTGATGCGTCTCGGTTGTCACCTGAGGCAAGAATCGATCTGAGGCACAAGATATATACACATGTAAAATGCAGACAAGTTGACATTCGTATAATTATTAAGCGTTTGAACAACTAGAATAAAATCATAGAATTACATAGGATCAGAATTAGAGAATATGGGATATTTAATATAAACTTTGATCATACTTTGACTTATAGAAAATTCTGCATATGCTTGATTAACTTGTTCACCGAAAAGGTATACTTGACGCAACAGATAACAATCAATCTAAATTATCATTACAGTAAAATCACTGGTTTTAACAATTCAATTTTCACTTGATATAATTAAAGTCATTCAAAGTTCCAAGCATGAAGCGCGCCGTATTACGATATTTACGCATTTTTCCGATGTTTACGTCCGTTGTGTATTCAGATGAAGCAACCAAAAGTCTTAATATGTCTGCACCATATGATGCATTTGCAAGTTCTATATGAAAGAGTAAGTGTAAGAATAAAGTATTCAATGCACTAATAAATGATTTCACCTTTCCACCTTGCGTGATTGTTCTAGGTTCCACCGCATTCCCTAGAGACTGGCATTTTTTCGTCCTTTCTCATCCAAGATAAATCCATGAGTGATTATTGTTGAGTAAGGGGGTTTATCAGAAACCGCGACTTTTTTATTAAATAATATGAAGCGTTTATTTTATCCGTTTAAGAAGATTAATTCACACATGTATGATGTAATTCAATTGCTCAAAAAAATTACTTGACGTTAACAGAGATGTTTGAAACCATCCACGATGTTAATCACTTCCTTCCAAATATAAGTCGGCGATGGTTCACCTCCAGATCTATTTGATGTACTTGCCGTGATGTGCTCCTATTAGATTTTCGCAAATTCATCACATTTTTATTTTGTTAATCTTGCTAGAAATCTAGCGCTATTATTCATATATTTGCTTCTATAAAAAATGTTGGTATTGTAGTAAAATTTATATAACAATCTCACCGCCATTACTTTCGCCAGTAACAGTATATGTGTACAAATTTTTATATTATTAAAAACCTATATTCAAAAACTCTCCAAAAAGCATAAAATAATTTTTCGAATATTTCGTAGTTAAAAGTTGAATATTATTTGCACCTATACAATACAATTTAAAGAGAAAATAACTTTAAGAAAAATCAAAAAACTCATGGTTCTCTACTAAAAAATGAATGACAGACAGACAATGGTACAAGAACTTTCCGAAGTTCTCATTTTCCAACTACAAAAATGACGATGAAGGCCCCTGCCTGGAATTGAACCAGGTCCTGAACGCATAACTTGTTCAATGCAACGACTACACCACAGGGGCATTTGTTATTAATATAAATGTTGTTATTTAATGTTAATTATGCGCAGCATGATGTATGACTATCGCAATGTTTGATCGATATCGATACATGTACATACGTAATTTAAAATGATAATACGTACCTTCTTGTAAACCTCGACTGATTCTAAAAAAACGAGAATGTTTAAAAGGTTGTAAAATAATAAGATTAGGAACATCGAAAATTCATTTAATTCGTGAATCGGTCCATCAAAATTCGAAATTGTATATAGAAGCGTCTTCAAGTCGCTGAAAAGATATGCTTTGATCTAATAAAAAAAATAACAAAGTTCTTACTCGTAATAACGATATTATTCGTGAATACACTATTATTTTCTTTCGTTTCGTGATCAAACTTCAAACCTTGTGAGTGATTGCAAGTAGTGGATGCTCC